CGAAGTTAGGGATGTACCGCTCAAGGTGACGCCTCATATGCGAGACAGCATCAACCCGGACCAGAGCTCCCTTGTTCTTACTCTCTTTCTGAGACAAGACCTTGCCACTGTCAGTGTACTCTCTGGCAGCAGCAATGCATCGGAAAGCACAGTCTCCGCAGCCCTGAAGATTAACCTCAGTCCATCCTTCACTGCGCGCTTGAGCAACTTCGTCTGTGGAGGTGCAAACTGGAACGTCCTCGACAGCGGGCGTAGCTGTGACTTCAGCTACTACCTCAGTGTCGTCACGCATTTCTGCTGAGCCAGTCTCGACCTGCATGGCGTCAAAATCAATTGCCGGAGGCTTGGATCTTTGGGCCGCGCTGTCTGTAAGAAAGAACTTTTTCGGGGGACCTCGAACCTCAAACACATCGGAGACTTTAGGGCCTCTAGGAGGAGCCTTCGAGAGGTGGATATGAAGCTTGGGATCATCTTTATCACAGTACTGCCAGACCGTGACGTTTTCGGTGTCTCCACTACCCACAGGGGGAAAGCCTTTCAGGATCCACTGAACCCCTTTCTTACCGCGCCACTGCCTGGAGATACATACTGCTTCTTTCCAGCCCTGAGCTCCAAGGAACGCAGTCACTTCAGAACCCTCCCAAGCTTTAGGGAAGCCCTGAGCTTGCACCGTAAGGGCTCTAGGCTCTGGTGCATCCCCAGGTCCTCGAAGAAGACCAAGGTCGCTGCCTCTGCCGATGCGGTACTTGAGTCCTTGCCCCTTAGCGGCCGCAGCGGCCTGTGCAGCTCTGAAGTAAGTCTCTTCGTCTTGCTCACCCTTGGGCAACCATCTGATGGCCTCGGTTGGGCGATCGATGACCTGAGTTCGCGTGATAAAGATTCCATTCGCCCCACTCTTGAGCAGAAGTGCATCTGCAAGGTCTGGCTGAATCCTCACATGACCAACGAGCTGGTAGCCACCCTTCGTAGACGACCACTTCCAGCTGCCTCCCGTCAATTGGGAGGTTTGACAGACCTTCCACTTGCCGATCTCGGACAAGACGTCCGTCACCTTATCCCACCGATCATCATTCCTGAACAAGATTCTGTAGTGATAGGGAGCGGAGATCCTGATCGTGATCTTAGCTGGCGGAGCAAACTTAGCTACTTCAACTTGGCTTGCCTGCCTGGCCCAAGGGGCCGCGTGAGTGTCTCCCAGAACCAGGACTGTGCAGTCAAGGACTGCAAAAGGCCCAGAGCCTCTCCTGATGCTGACCTTAGCGCCGTACCCTCCCAGCGACTTGTAGTCACCTAAGAGGAGGAGAGTCAAGGGATCGTACCTTGAGGCAGCCGTCCACAGGGCCTTTAGCTCACGAGCCTCGGCTTCGGACTTCACAACCGTAAGGTTCCCATCAATCTCGCTACCAGTTTCAACAGCTTTCACCACAGCAGCTTTGGAAACGAGCTTAACAGGTTTGGTCCATTCACTGGCGTGCAGCGTGACTGGCCCAGCTGGGTCTGGAGATTTCCAGACCTTGGGAGGGGTTTTGCGTTCTGTCTGCTCCCAGCTAGCGTCCTGCCGCTTGTGTCCTCCGGTGGTAGGAGGCGCACGCACAGCTTGCTGAACTGAGCTCTCGACCTTGGGAGGTGGTTTGCTCAAAATCCCTTGAACTCGCTTCACAACCGTCTCATCACTGGCCTGTTGTTTGGCGAGCTCTTCAAGCAGATTCATCAATCGAGCAATGAGTGATGTCTCAGCCTGTTGGACTCTAGGCTTCTTGGGCGGTGACTGCTGAGCTGGCCCAGCAGTGTTACTGCCCCTGCGCTGCCACTCACTTAAGAAACCAAGCAGCGCAGCAGAAAGAGGCTGCTGCTCTTCCCTGCCTGCACTCTCCTGTTCCTTTTCTTCTCGTTCACGACGCTTCCTACGAGTAGCTGCCGAACTACCGCCTTCAAGCGACAGCTGCGCAAGAGCATGCATGAACGCACCACTTTCTTCCGCGGTGAAGGTTGAACTCTGAGTTGGACGAAACGGGCGCGGCGGAGCACTTCTGGACCTAACTCCGTCCCTCAAACGAAGACTCCAGAAGACGTCACAGCACCGACGAATGGCTGTAGCGTCCTGAGAGGACGCCGTTCTGAGTGGCGCGTTGCGCCACCCGCCACCAAGGCCGCGAGCCCCTCGCAACCCGGGTATTCTCTGCTTTCCGGCCTTTCTAGCAGGAACCATCCACGAATCAAAGGCAAACATGCGGAGCCATGCCTGCTTCCATGGCCCATGAATGGACCATGAGTTTGGTAAACTAGGAGTTTTGCGATACTTCTTCCGCTTACGCTTGCATCTGCACCAACGCCTCCACAACAAGGTGACTGTACGACGAAACCGCTCTCCCAAACAGAGCGACAGCCACAGAGAGAGGTTAAGACACAGAATGCCGAGCAAGACCTGAGTGAAAAGCCAAGGCTCAACCTCATCGTGCTCAAAATGAACAAGTTTAAATCTGTCAGACATGTCAGGTGACCCGTTGGAACAAGCAAAACCTTTAACCCCAAAAGGCCAAGCATCGAGGTCCACTGACACGTTCTTCATCTTCATCGCCCCGCTCGCCGCGAGGTCATCGGGAACGTTGTCCACACTGAGCGCCCATGGCATCGAAGCGCAGACAAAGGGAACGGGAGGGAGGCCCATGAGGGGGCCGGTGCATGTGTATTCACACGCATGTGCATGAGCAGCGCAGGGCAAGCAAAGCAGAGGCAGCAGGAAGCCTAAACGAGTAGAAAGGATTCGAGGCTGCCCCCGGCCGGCCGCTCTTGGATTATGAATTGGGGGACAATGCATTTTTTCTTCCATCAGAGCTCTGTGAGCTTCTTCTGGCGACAGATATTCTCTGAAGGACTTCAGGGGGTAATAACTGCAATCAATTCTGAATTGTTCTTGTTTTTTCTTATTGGGGTCTTCTTTGATTTCTTGTACACATCTCGTCAAGCAAAGCTTGTCCGCGCCCACCACGTGGAGGTAGTGCACAAGGACGCCACACACATATATATATATACACATACATGTATATATATATATATATCTATATATAACTGTCTGTATATGCATATATATATATATATATATATATATATATATTGGCTTCCCATCTAGTTTTAGTGCCTGATCTGCAAGGTATAAGATTAGAATCTTTAAGATACGCGATCTCCGATGCAAGCGGCAACGTGGAATGACTAAGAAGTACCACTTAATATGTAATACTAGGCTGACATGGTTCATGATACGGCATGGCAGGTGCTGACATTATGTTTGTGTATGTTTGTACGGGTGTTTGTATATATAGAGAGAGAGAGAGAGAGAGAGAGAGAGAGAGAGAGAGAGAGAGAGAGAGAGAGAGCGAGAGAGAGATGTATACCTTTACGTATATAACTATACATACACATATGTATGAATGTATGCAGACGTGTCTGTATGTATGTCCTTGTATGTGAGTGCGTATGACCATGTAGACCTACCTGTATGCATGGCGAGGGTTGAGTGCAAGGGGGGGGAGTGGGACTGCACGGCACCACTCAACGCGCATATGCACATGCAGGCATGCATGCATACATACATAATTCCGAATGTGCGCACATACATGCGGACGTACAGAAGCACATACATACATATGTACATACATAGTGCATGAAGACATGCTTGCATATGTAGGTGCATATATGTACATCTACATGAGCATCTACATGTACATCTACGTCTATAAGTTATAAGCATTTTCATGCACTTCCATAGAACTCCTTGAGGCAGAGGCGGCCTCCATCTCGACAGCCGGCGCCCCTCCGAGCGATGAGTTCCAGGCATATAGAGGGCTCGAAAACACGGGACCGAACAACTCATGTAGGGTGGGACTAGGGTTCTCGGTTTAGGGTATGTAGTACTCTTCCACAAGTCCGGGCTCAGAAGTTCGGCGATTCGGTCATTCATTCTTTTTCGAGAGGACGCGGGAGCTAGAGGCTTTCGCGGTTAGGGATTGAGCGTATGAGGAGCATGTGATTTTCTGAGAGCTTCAATAAGGCGGTACTGGTACGATACAGCCTGAATCTTATCAGGCAACCAGGTCGGCCCCGGCATTGTTTAGGGAGTTTGGGCAGAAGAGGGGGAAAGGTTTGAACTGGTTCCCCGCCTTGGTCGTTACGCTTCGAATGCCCCTGAAGTGCTTGACACTTTCGTGCTCTTGGGGCAGCTGAAGATGAAGCTGAATTTCATGCCGGGTGAGTGTGTCAACGTAGCTGTCTAGCACCTCACACATGAAGCTCGGGTGGGCTCCTGCTCCTAACTCTTTCAACTTTCCGTTCGGTTTTCAACACAAGTCCTTGCTCTTGAGGCCGCAGCGGCAGGAACCATGCCGGCGGAGATTCCCCCAGCAACAGAGGAAGAGGTCTGTCGTATAGATGGCGGCTTTGAGGCTTTTGAGGTGTGTAGATGAGGGCTTCCAACTTGCCGGTGGGTCGAGGAGAGAGCACAGGGGCTTTCGGTAAGTCTTGAAAGATTTGTGACAGCAGGGTAGATCGCCGGCATTATGCGCAGACAGCTTGCAGAGGAATCTTCCCTCACAGTGGCATCGAAATCTCAGAATGAACTTGGCCTTTTCGCAGATTGATCTAGCTGCGCATCTTCAAACCTCACAGGATCACCGGCTGTTCACACAGACCCGTTGCAGAGGAACCTGCCATCGCCGCTACCACGGCGGCATCGAACCCTGAGAAAGAGGCTGGGCTTGGAGTAGGTTGATCTAGCTGAGCATCTTCAAACCTCACAGGATCACCGGCTTTTCACACAGACCCGTTGCAGAGGAACCTGCCGTGGCCGCTACCACATCGGACCCTCAGAATGAGGCTGGGCTTGGAGCAAATCAATCTAGCTGCGCAGTTTCAGTTCAGATGTCACAGGATCTCCGGCTTTTCACACAGACCTGTTGCAGAGGAACCTGCTATCGCCGCTAGCACGGTGGCTTCGAACCCTCAGAATGAGGCCGGGCTTGGAGCAGATTGATCTAGCTGCGCATCTTCAGTTCAGATGGCACAGGATCACCCGCTTTTGACACAGACCCGTTGCAGAGGAACCTGCCATCGCCGCTACCACGGCGGCATCGAACCCTCAGAATGATCCTGGGCTTGGAGCAAATCAATCTAGATGCGCATCTTCAGATCAGATGTTACAGGATCACCGGCTTTTCACGCAGACCCGTTGCAGAGGAACCTGCAATGGCCGCTATCACGGTGGCATCGAACCCTCAGAATGAGGCCGGGCTTGGAGCAGATTGATCTAGCTGCGCATCTTCAGACCTCGCCGGATCACCGGCTTTTCACACAGACCCGTTGCAGAGGAACCTGCCATCGCTGCTAGCACGGTGGCAACGGACCCTCAGAATGAGGCTGGGCTTGGAGCAAATATTTAGCTGCGCATCTTCAGATCAGATGTCACAGGATCACCGGCTTTTCACGCAGACCCGTTGCAGAGGAACTTGCCATCGCCGCTACCACGGTGGCATCGGACCCTCAGAATGAGGCTGGGCTTGGAGCAAATCAATCTAGCTGCGCAGTTTCAGTTCAGATGTCACAGGATCTCCGGCTTTTCACACAGACCTGTTGCAGAGGAACCTGCTATCGCCGTTAGCACGGTGGCTTCGAACCCTCAGAATGAGGCCGGGCTTGGAGCAGATTGATCTAGCTGCGCAGTTTCAGTTCAGATGTCACAGGATCACCGGCTTTTCACGCAGACCCGTTGCAGAGGAACTTGCCATCGCCGCTACCACGGTGGCTTCGGACCCTCAGAATGAGGCTGGGCTTGGAGCAAATCAATCTAGCTGCGCAGTTTCAGTTCAGATGTCACAGGATCTCCGGCTTTTCACACAGACCTGTTGCAGAGGAACCTGCTATCGCCGCTAGCACGGTGGCTTCGAACCCTCAGAATGAGGCCGGGCTTGGAGCAGATTGATCTAGCTGCGCATCTTCAGTTCAGATGGCACAGGATCACCCGCTTTTGACACAGACCCGTTGCAGAGGAACCTGCCATCGCCGCTACCACGGCGGCATCGAACCCTCAGAATGATCCTGGGCTTGGAGCAAATCAATCTAGATGCGCATCTTCAGATCAGATGTTACAGGATCACCGGCTTTTCACACAGACCTGTTGCAGAGGAACCTGCCATCGCCGCTAGCACGGTGGCTTCGAACCCTCAGAATGAGGCTGTGCTTGGAGCAGATTGATCTAGCTGCGCATCTTCAGTTCAGATGGCACACGATCACCCGCTTTTCACACAGACACGTTGCAGAGGAACCTGCCATCGCCGCTACCACGGCGGCATCGAACCCTCAGAATGATCCTGGGCTTGGAGCAAATCAATCTAGATGCGCATCTTCAGATCAGATGTTACAGGATCACCGGCTTTTCACACAGACCTGTTGCAGAGGAACCTGCCATCGCCGCTAGCACGGTGGCTTCGAACCCTCAGAATGAGGCTGTGCTTGGAGCAGATTGATCTAGCTGCGCATCTTCAGCTGTTCACACAGACCCGTTGCAGAGGAACCTGCCATCGCCGCTACCACGGCGGCGTCGAACCCTCAGAATGAGGCTGGGCTTGGAGTAGGTTGATCCGCACCGCTTCTTTTGGACCATTGCTTTCGGACCTTACGTGCACAGCACCCTTCTAGAGGAATCTTCAACTTCCACGACCTCAGTGGAAGCGAACCCTCAGATAGAGGCTGGGCCTGGAGAATTTAATGGATCTTGGATGCTTTGCCAGGGCTGCTTTCGGCCCCTCGATGAACGAAGCTTGATGGCGGATGGATGTTGGTAGCTGGCAGGTGGGCAGGTAGGGAGGTGAGCAATCGGCTGGCAGAGGAAACCACGTGGGCAGGGAGGCAGGCGTGCAGGTTCGCCAGAACCTGGGCTGGTAAAGCATTTTGCCATTGTGCAGGTGGTGGATCAAAGCTGCAGGTCCAGATCAGATGATGCGGAGAAGCTTCGTCCAATTTGAGACTTTTGGTGTCTATACACCTCGCGGTTTAGAATTGGCGGTGTTGTCTTAAGAGAAATGGTTTAGAGCTTGGGTCTCAGGGTTGCATGCACGGGCTGCGATTCCAGGGCTACAGTCCCACAGCCAAAATCGAAAAAGCCCTAGAAACCCTAAACCCTAAACCCTACAACGCAAAGTGAAAACTGTTCACCCCCAGACTCCCTGCAATGCGGGCTTCGTCCTTGCTAGGTAGGAGGGAAAAAACAACACAAAGCAGAAAAACCTCCCAGAGCCTTAGAGGTCTCAGCTTTGGAGAACCAAGGGCGTCTCCGCTGGCCCGGAGTTGCGAAGAGACGACTTGTCCAGACGACAAGGACGGCATGCACCAGCGACCATGTGACGTTGAGAGAGTTCCATTAGAAGATTCTTCGATGTTTTTTTCTAACATACTCGAATATATAAACTTAAAATTACAACGTACTATAACGGATTATAGGATAGTATAAAATCTGCTTCGATGTTTTATTATGGTTTCGTAGCAAGACTCGACTCTGCTTGCTTCAGGATGCGACTGGCTCCTGAGCTGCTCCCGATGGGCGACTCAAAAAAGGTGTTACTTGGGGTTTAATATAGAGTTTGGAGTTTATAGGGTTTTCTAATTTAGAGTTTATAGGGTTTGTTTTATTAATAGTTTGTAGGGATGTTTCGTTTCGAGTTTATAGGGTTTTGAATCAGAGTTTAAAGGTTCTGCGCAGTCATATGTTCAGCTGTGCAGTGTTGGTGGCGGCATCGGCCTCATGAATTGTTGGCCCACCCTCGGTTGAACTATATGTAAAATTTCTATGCTCTCTGGACATGCATACACATCCACAAATGCATACATGCACACGTGCATACATGCATCCACACACGCATGCAGGCATGCACGCATTAACATATTACATGCATGCATGCATGCTTGCTTGCGTGCGTGCATGCGTGCGTGGATTTGTGGATTCGTGTGTGTGTGTGTGTGTGTGTGTGTGTGTGTGTGTGTGTGTGTGTGTGTGTGTGTGTGTGTGTGTGTGTGTGTGTGTGTGTGTGTGTGTGTGTGTGTGTGTGTGTGTGTGTGTGTGTGTGTGTGTGTGTGTGTGTGTGTGTGTGTGTGTGTGTGTGTGTGTGTGTGTGTGTGTGTGTGTGTGTGTGTGTGTGTGTGTGTGTGTGTGTGTGTGTGTGTGTGTGTGTGTGTGTGTGTGTGTGTGTGTGTGTGTGTGTGTGTGTGTGTGTGTGTGTGTGTGTGTGTGTGTGTGTGTGTGTGTGTGTGTGTGTGTGTGTTCGTGTACGCACACACGCACGCACGCACGCAAGCATGCACGGCACGCACAGATCTGCAGACCCACGCACACGTCCACGCACATGTTTCTTTACTTATTGGTTTGTACTTACATATATGTATCATATGCACATTGTCATGCTTATCACTGGACTACATATACACAGTCCCGGATTGTACGTAAGACAGCGTAATCGCTGGTTGATTGAGGCCGTATGAAGAACATCAGATGCGATGCATTGAGAGAGTCTCAGAGAGTACGCACCGATGTAGGGTCTTGGGAGACACTGATGGAGTCGCGGAGCGGTGACGTCATCTACCATTCGCAATTCCAGCATGGGGAAATGGACAGCATAATCATATTGCGAGAATATAAGTGCTTTGATTTGGGCCTGCGGAAAAAACTGATAGCACAGGAGCCAAGCACACGACATGGCCCACTGCACGCTAATCTATTTGCTTGAGTGTGGAGTTGTTTCGCATCAGGCGTCTATCTGAACGCTGACACAGAAAACCTAAAGGCTTGCGGACACGGCGTGAAATGCTGGACATGACTCCTGACATTCGTGCAGATCGTGAGGCATATCTCGCACATGATAGGCACAGTTGGCGATTTGATTGGTATACATGCCATACGACAGTTTAGTCTTCGTACAGCTGACAACGGTTCCGAGGGTTCTGCAGTATGTTTGATGCCTATAGTGTATAAATAGCTCTCAACTTGCCCGGGCGGTTCCGAGCCATTTATACGCTATCGACAATCCTGAAGCTATCCCGGACTATTTCGAACTATTCCGAACCTTTTGGAGCTATCGGTCCTTGTTTGGCTATAGCTCAGAATGGTTCCCAGTTGTGGCCGGTTTACAGTTCATACTGCAAGCGATATACAAATGACCCCAGATGTTAATCATGAGTGACGGTACATAGGTTATGTCTGCACTGCTGCTCAAATGGTTATATCGTTTGTTGACTCAGCATAGTCGCAAATTTCTAAAACGGTTCGTTGCTGCCACATCGCTGCAGATATCAGAAAGGTTTCTGCTGAAGCTTACCGGGCCTAAGTATAGACAGCGCCAGCCAGAATAAACCCCGACTGAGCAGGGCGCCGGCAGCCCCCCCCCCCCCCCCCTCACCCCGGCGCAGAATTAAACTCAGACCACCCCGCCACCCTGGCTTCGAACATGTCTGCTGCAGAGGTTGAACAGAGCATTTTATCCCAAGGGCAGTGCTTTGATCTGCATGAAAACCATACCGAGATAAGTTATGCGTGTACATACGAGCGTAGCGAGTTCAGAACCAGAAATATATGCTCTAATGAGGCTATTGAGGCAAACCTCAACCCCACGAAATCCCAACCCCGCAGTTTGACCCGGAACTGCGCAAGCGTGGCAAAGGAATCCCGGGATACTTTGCGCCTCGGTCGGTGGACAGGTCATTGAAGTTTTCTGTTTGCCTGGCTTGGTGATCTTGGATGAAAGACAGATGGAAGCCCATATGGTTCCCAACAAATTCCTGAGGTTCCTTATCAAGAAGGCATGATGACCAAAACCTTAAACTAATTCTGCAGGGCAGTGAGGATTCCGACACTCAAGCTATGCACAGATCCTGTTGTTCCAGTGCATCATCATTCGAATCCTATGGGTCCACGCGGTAGATCTATACATCGAGCGATCACACACATACAGTTTGCCTTTGGGGGCGGTGGGGAGTGTGAACTACGAAATGTTGAGTTGTGGACTTTGTTGGTCTTTTTGGTTGTGTTGTGTGGTTTTTGTTTGCCCAAGCAACAAGCTAGGAAGCTGGTTGCGCCAATTGCTCGAAGCTTACAGTGAAAGCCTTTTTTGCACCTCTTAATCATGCGCACATGAAAAAAGAGCGCGACGGAAAACCGAAACGTAAACGAAGGGATTGGGCCAGCTCGGGCGTCTCAATACAACATCCTCTTGCACGCAGCCCCTGGCAGACCACACGATCCCAATTGTGCCGCCGCCTGCTCCATCTAGAGCCTGGCTGGCTCGGAGATCACACAGAATCACAAAGCACGCCCCACAGGCCGAGGACAAGGAGGTCCAAGCTGGCAACAAGTTCTATGAATGAAATGACGGACTTTCGGGGGTGGGGGGGGGGGGGCAGGGCGGCACGAAAAATGATTTTGTCAGGCATGGCTTTTCCGCATGGTCATCCGTTTTACATTGTTTCCGATGGTATGTGGTAGGTTAGGGGTTTTGCATGGCAAAAATAGTGCTCAATAGAAGTATTTGCTGCCGAGAACGGTGCAACTTCCGATAAGCCCTAAGCCTTGAACCCTGTACAACTTTGCACCTGAGACTTTGATCTTTGAGATCCAGGCTTTTGGTTGGGAGTCGTGTTCCTTGCCAAACTCTCATATGGGTGGTTGTCAAAATTATTTTCCTTTTTTGGGTCCATATTCTAGTACGGCACCTGATATTTAGGGTGCCCAAAAAGGGACCCTAATTTTTGGCAACTACCCATATAGTACTTTGGGAACCCAAAGCTTCCCAGAACATGACCCGCGACCTTAAGCTACGAGGCTTCAGAGCATCAGGCAGGATCGATCCTTTGATGGTCGCTCTATCAAGCGAAAGCTCTTGGCAAGTAATCCCTGCATCCTTGTGCTTACAACCTTGGTGAGCGCAGGGCGATTCTTGTAGAGTAGCGTATGGTTCTCAAACTTTTCGTAGACATGACTCTTTATGCTGCTCGCCATTGCCGAATGTGAGAATCGAAACCCTTGAGTTTTGTAAATTGAGGTTAGACAAGCTTCAAGCATCCCGCCTCAATTGGATTGTAAAGAGGCTTCATGGCCCGGCAGGCAAGGCCGTTGCATGTGTCAAGAAGCACCAAATACATCATATTTTTGCTTGGGGAAGTTCTTTGGCTCGGGGAAGCGTTTTATTTGCCGACCAGTTTTGTTCGAGTCGTTGCATCTTCTTTCTCAGTGGGACTTTGTGCGAGCAGTTTGGACATGGTTCCGCGATCATCGCCATCATCATTGGTGACACTCTGTGGACGACGGCGTATCGACGATCCGTCCGTCCCCACATGCATGAAAGATTGTTCGTCGATGTTGACTGTGATTGATGATATGGTCAATGCAAGAGAGCATTGAAAGCTGAATTTCATGCTCGAGCCAGTCTGAACGTTTGTCAACACGCGTGGCTCCCCTGCTTTATTCATACACGTTCAGGCTGTAAGGGTGGAGGGGCGGGGGGTGGGGGGGGGGGCAGGGCGTACCTTAAATGTTATTTTTTGTATGGGTGCACTTTGGGCGCCAGTCTCGTCATGTTGTTGCCCGTCGTCCGCATATGCCCAAACAGTATGCTCATGCCAATATTGTTGTGTTGTGTTGCACAATGCATGGTGTGAGTGTGTGAAAGTCTTTGAACAGCAGCTCGGACGCATGGGTTAAG